TCAACGAAGCCACGTGCCGCTACAGGAGACGCATCATCAGGGAGATCGAAGAATATATTTCCCTGCGCATTTATTGGAGTTACTTGCATTACATTCTGTCTTGTGCTACGTTTGGTTTTCGCCGTCTGCGCAACGCAAAGCAACGCGGAGTGTATTTTCGTGCGCAGTGGTGTTGGCTGTCTGACTTTCTGATTTATGACCTCCTCGTATTCTCTTTCTAATTATTTGCACATCAAATTCCCTCTACCGACGACTAGTGATGCAGTGCCCACACAAAAAAAAAGGTCTATGTACGCCCCCGGTTGTTCCTTCCCTCTTCCTCCTCCTCTTTTTCCTCTTCCTCCTTTTGCCCCACCTCCCCTCGACCTCTGCCATCAAGCTGTTCGCGTGGGGAGGGCACCAAAGACAGGAGCTTTCGCCTGCTTTGTCTCCCTACCTTCAAGAGCAGGAGGAGGCTGTGCAAGCCCATGACCATCCCTGCGATGGTCGCAGTAAGCGCGGCAGGAGTCGTGATGATACGGGAAATAGGGACGCTACTTGCCGAAACAAAGAATTTCGGGGGAAAACTCAGACCAAGACCCGGACTTTGGCGCACGTGACCTGCCCATATTGTCTCTCTGCTACCGACGACTTCTTTATGTACACTCCCCTATCGCATTCTGGGGCTTCAGTGCCGGGGACGGGCGCAGCGCCCCGAGGAGGGCCAAGTCTCATCGGTCGGGGGGAAGGGAAGGAGGATGATTCTGCGGGAGAGATGCAGTGGCCGGCAGTCTCCACGCTGCCTACCTCCATGTCTGCAGGGGAGCTGGCGCGCCGACTGTACAAAGATAAACCGTGGGTGACGCGCGGTCGCGGGGGAGGGGGAGGGGAAGCGCAAGAAGAGTCTTGGCGATGACCCAGTTGTGGATGCTAGTGTACAGTGGATCGGGAGCAAGTGAGGTGAGGAGGAAGAAGTCCAAGCATGGAATGTGAGAAGGCATCATTCGATGGCGTGCACAGAAAACTTGCGAGCAAAATAACAAAGAAAGGAGCCATAGGGTCTGTCGCCGCAGCCATTCCCACATCGCGTCTCGGGCCTGCTCCTCCTCCTACTTTTTTCCTTGCAAATACCACATCCTCATGTTCCTGCAGTTCCTACCATGCGGAATGAATTCACGCTGTCTCTCACCGGCCTTTACCGTCCACCTCCCTTCGTACCTTCCTCCCTGCCTTCCCAGCATCGTAATACTAATCTTCATACCCTCCCTCCCCATCGCCCGCGGCCTTAACACCTCCTTCCCCTTCCATCTTACCTACAAAACCGCCCAAGAGCCTAGACAGGCCGAGCAAGGACTCCGTCCGCCCCCAACCTCCCATCCCTCCTCATCTTCCCCCCAACATCTCAGGCCCCTTCATTTTCATCAACCATCCCTCTTCGGACGGGACCCTGACAAACCATGACACGTCCACAGAACCCTACTTCTCTTTCTCTTTCTCTTTCCCGTCGCTTCCTCCAGAATCATCATCCCCCCAACCATTCACCGAGCTTCCTCTCTCCCTTACTCTCTCCTTCCCTCCTTCCCTCCCTCTACACGCTCACCACCATCAGCCTCCGGGCCCGTCCGACTCCACTTTCCCATCCGCTTTTTTCCCGAAGCACAGGGATAGCCCCTGGGCGCCACCATGCCGCACCTCTTTTTCGTTCCACAACCCCTCCCTCCGCAACTCTTTTTCGTTCCACAACCCCTCCCTCCGCATCAAAATCCTGGAAAGGGACTGGGCGATCCGAAAGCCGAGACAGCCGGCGCCGCGTGCGGTTGCGGCGTTGGCGGCGGTGGCTGTTGTTGGTGGTGTTGTGGCATGGCTGGCGCGTGGACGGAGGGGGCGTCGAACATGCCGAAAGGATTCCCCGACGCCGAAGGGGCGGGGCGCGGCTGTGTTGGGGCAGGAGCAGGGTGAGAGGGCGGGAGGGAGGACGGGAGGGAGGGCATGCCCAAACCGCCCCCGATCCCCAGCATCCCCACGATGGGCCCGGGTCCGACCCCCTGCTGTGCCTTGGCGAAGGAGTCCAGGTCGTTGAAGGTGGCGTGTTCGTACCCGTGGGAGAAAGGCTGTTGCTGCTGTTGCTGCTGTTGCTGTTGCTGCTTCGTTTCTTCTAGCTTGAGT